TACTATTTGTGTATTATCCCATTTGTTGTATATCCATATTGAAGCAACTGCACAGTTTCTTAAAACTATAAAAAATTAAGTTAAAATATTAAGAATCATTCTCGTGTACAATAATCTTGACAATATGTCACATAGCATATTGTCCTTACACTTTTTTGACAACTACAATATTGTCAATAAAGTTGTACAAAATGATTGTAAAAATAAATTTATCGAAATTTTAATGAAATTTGCCATTTGTACACGGAAGGTTGATACGTCCGTGTACACTCCCTTTACACGAGGAGCCCACACCCAATAAAAAAAGCGCGCCCCTCTCTGGTGAGGGGGCTGTGACACACCCATGTATACATAGCAAGGCTTAATTTTAATACTAAAAAACTCAAATGAGAATTGTGCAAAATTCCGTCGACACGTGCGAGTCGTCACTGTCGTCCAGTGTCTGTAAAGTGTGGAATGTGTTCAGAAGAAGACAAAATACCGAAACGCTATACATTATTAAATTAATTTCGAATGGATAAACATTCTTAGAATTTACATTTACATATGAGTAAATCTCATTAATGGTCATTGAAGTTCAAGAAAAATTTCAAATTAATTACTAAAGTAATTTCACGATCAATTTAACCCTTAAATGCATTGTTACATAATCGATAGCTCTGCAAGCTAGAGTAATGCCATATTAGGCGTAATTGAAATTAAACATTCACGTTCGCTCACGATCAAAGTGATCAATTCCTTCTGGTTGGCCCTTTTTTTTTTTATTGTGTTCATTGTGATATTTTTATATATGAGTGGTTAGAAGAAGAAATTGGTTAAATGGAAACACATGTGAATTTTTCTTTTTATAAATTATGTTTTAATTTGAAAATATGTAATTTCAGGATATGAATATAACAAGATCTTTTTTTATACCAAAAGATCGACACTAACGGAGTAGGCCTACGAGAAATCTAGGAGTGATTGAGAAGCTTAAAAACAGGAAAGTATTGAATAAGATCAATGTTTGTTGAAAGAGGTAATACCATGGACGTAGGAAAAGGAAAAATCTTCATGGATTGAGTGACTATTTGGGTAATTTTATTTAAATTAGTGAATAATGGGTAGCAAAAATACTTTGTGACCTATTTGAAATTTACCTTAAAATTCAGTGACCATTTGTGAAATTAACACTTTTACATTTTAGTACTAGTGTCAAATATTTAGCCAGGATGAAGATTTCCGTCAATGGCGGACTCAATCAACAGATAGACTTCACGCAAGCATTGCTTTTCTAAGGTAAAATTTACTAATTTTCAGTTCATCTGATTTTGATCTATTGATTATATGTGTATATTTAAATCAATGGTGAGTAAATCTTTTAGTACCCCTATGTTTGATTTTTGTTTTGCAAATTAGGGTTATTGAAGCGGTGCAAACTTTTCACTGCTCATTTTCGTCCTGTTAAAATAATGAAATCTGACATGTTTAGTACTTTATGTTGAACCAAGAATTGGACGATTATTAATATTTGGGATTAGGGTGAGAACTTAGTTTTGGTTGGCGAAGCATGGGTGAGTCCGAACGAATTGGTTTAAAATTAGCTCTTTTTATTTGAAGGATTCACGACTTCAAATTAAAATGTCAACCCAGAGTCTGATTAATCAAAGTTCCTTTCTTTTGTCGGATTTCTGCAACTATAGGCATATGTATGGCAGGGTTTTTACTGGAGTATACTCTTGTTGTGTGTGTGTGTGTAAATTTACTTGAATTGACAAAAACCAAATAAAATCTTTCACTCTAATTCATCCACTAATATTTATCCAAATTAAATGTTTTTGGGCATTTTATATTCTTTTGATCCATTGAGCACGTTTACTTGGGATGTAATTCAAATGCAATTATTACCGCAATCATAATGTTGTATTTTAATTCTAAAATATCATTTCCTCTTCTTTTTTTTTTTCCTTTTTAATTTTTTGATAGTGATAATCTTTGTCCAACATATTTGTTGACAGACTATAGTGGGAAGAGGAGAGATGCAAACAAGGCGTTTGAAATTTTATGTAATTGTAGGATTTATCCTATTCTATCTGATGCTAGCACTTGGGAGAAAAAACCTTAGCATTAGTCTTAATTGTTTCTAGTGGTAAGTAATGTAATCTGTTGCAAAATAGTATAATATATTAATTATTCTTGGTTGTTTGAAGAGGTTTGATAACGTTAAATATATTCTTTTGTTTCTTTATAAATACTTTTTTTCCCGGTTGTGCTACATACATAAATTATTATGTAACTCCTTCTATACAAGTAGCATTATTCAATTTGTTTTGGTTAAACTTTGAAATTTAATGCTGATTAATATAATATTTTCTTAAATTTTAAAATTGTAATAGGGATTGATCTGAAGTGCAATAGATATATAAAGTGGCGTTGATATATGGTGTTTAAATGAATGAATTTAATAAAGATAATGTTGGAATGCAATGTTGATGAATATAGTACTTTTTTAAAATTTTAGAACTTTTATAGGGTTAGATTTAGAGTGAGATACATATATTGGAATGGTGGATGAAAATAGCGGCTTTCTAAATTTATTTGAACTGATATTTCCACTAGGCAGGCTGATTTGATTTTCTGATTCGATGGGTAGAATTTTCAAATTTTGGAAAGTTGAGGTGTCATCTTAATTTGAGAGTTATCTTTGTTAGATTTAACTTCAGGGATACTTTGATGTTGCAGTACATTATAGGAACATACACTTGATCATTTAGGTTTTTGCTAACTTTTGCAAGAGGTAAAATTTCATTGCTGGTCTTCAATAAATGGCAATTCAGTATTTTTTTTTATTTTTTTATTTTTTTATTTTTTTAATTGAGGGGTTAGATTTCTGGGGGAAAAATAACTGGAGCATTTTTAGGAGAACCAGTATTATATCAATTTTTTATGGGAACTTCCTGAAGGTGCAATCACCTTGCCTCGGGGATCAGAAAATGGGTATAATCTCCTCTATATTTTTCCCTCATCCTTTCAGAAGTTCTTCTGATTTATAGTTATCTAATGGTAAAAAAGCTAAACTGTAGTATTTGAATATTCATATGAATGCATTCATATCTGTAGGAGGACATCCTCCTTCCCTCCACTACCTCCTGAAAAAATAAAAAATTTCATCTTTGTTATATTTTGAAAGCTCTTTGTCTAAAATATTTGATTTATTTTCTTTTTTGCAGTGCATTTTGCTCCTGGTCCTGAATTCTATTGCTAGTGTTTCCTGTATCACGAGCTGAGACTGTGATTTTTGGTGTGTACTGGCAATGCTTCTCAAATTTTACATATATGTATTGTGTAAATGTCAATAAACTTATTTTCAAGCGAAGTTTTCCTTCTGCTGCACTAAGGATTGTGCTTCATCTCTATGGCATTCTCAAGTTATTAATAGCATTGTGGTGTCACCAGTTGTTTCCATTGAAGTTGAATTGGAGGGAAAAGAAATTCAGTATTATCAAAATGGAACAATCAAGAAGTCATAATTTTGTGCTATATAATCCACCAGATCACGGAAACAATGAACATGCTCCTGAATCTCGAGTGTTCCAGGTGGATCCTTTAGGTCATGCAAATGCCAGCTTCAGATCTTCCGAGGTTAATTTTTCCGAAGCTAAGCCTGTACATAACTACTCTATTCAGACGGGTGAGGAATTTTCTCTTGAATTCATGCTTGACAGGGTCAATCCCAGGAAACCTAATGTTCCCAATATTTCTGGTGATCTGAGTCATGCACCTCGTTATTTAGAACTCAGAGGCCTTTTGGGTATAAGTCATACTGGCTCTGAGAGTGGTTCAGATATCTCTAAGATTTCTATAGCAGAAGAAGGTTCCAAAGAGTTCGAAAGGAAGAACAAATCGCATGACTGTTATTCTGTACAGTCTATGCAGTCCGTACCACGGAATTCATCTAATTGGAGTCTTATGTATACCTCATCTGGAGCTTCGGATACCTCATCAACAAAGCTTAAGATTCTATGCAGCTTTGGTGGTAAAATACTACCCCGGCCAAGTGATGGAAAGCTCAGGTATGTTGGAGGTGAAACACGCATGATCCGCATAAGAAAGGACATTACCTGGCTAGAACTGCTTCAGAAAACAACCAAAATTTATAACTGGACGCATACGATAAAATATCAGCTTCCTGGGGAGGAGCTCGATGCTTTAGTTTCGGTGTCGAGTGATGAGGATCTACTGAATATGATGGAGGAGTGCAATGTACTAGAAGACGGAGAAGGTTCAAAAAAACTTCGGATATTCCTGTTTTCTGCTAGTGATTTGGATGATGCTCATTTCACCCTGGCTAATTCCGATGTTGATTCTGAGATAAAATATGTAGTTGCAGTCAATGGCATGGACATGGGATCGAGAAAAGGCTCTGTACTACATGGTCTAACAAACTCTTATGGAAACAATTTGAATGAGTTAGATGCACAGAATGTTGAGATTGCCCCAAATAAAGCTGCAAATGAAACTGGGGTTAGTACCTCAAATTTGGCTGGCCTTACTGTCCCGTCATCTGCTAACATATCCTCTCAATCTATTCTACAAGGTTCGTCAAAAAATTATGAAATTGATTTGCATTTTGATCATGGTCAGACAGCACACCAGGATGATCACAAGCAACAACCTCTCCAATATGGCTACGATTTACATCCTCCATATTTCTCACCTTCTGAAAGTTCTGTACCACAGTCTTCTTATGGGCTTATTGGTCAAAAGAAAGATATTGAAGGGCAGAAATTGAATGGTTTCACTTTGCAGGGTACAAAAGAACAGGAAAAGGAGGTGAAACATAAAGTTAATAGCTCAATACTACCAGAAAGTGGGAATGAAAGTAATAAAATGGTCACTGAGCACCTTGTTCCGTCTCAGGCATACAATGGTAACAATAACATTGGTTTTCCCGTGGAAGAATTGTCAGTTGTGGTCCCCAAACTGGACAGAGAATTTTCTACAAAGACTTTGAAAACTGACATGCCCCAGGAACCTCTGAAGGTCTCTAAGCCTCTTGATGCTGTTAATCCCTCCCATGTGCCTATATCTAGTGGCAATGACTATGATACTTGTAGCGAGGCTTTGGTTCCTGAGTCCATCAAGTCTGAGCCTGATCCTGATTTGAGCTACTTCGAGCCTCCTATTCCTCAAAGGGTCTTTAATTCTGAGCGAATTCCCCGAGATCAGGGAGAGTTGCTTAGCAGAATATCAAAGTCAGACGATTCACACTCTTCTCAGCTTCTCGTCAATCATTCACGTTCTGAGGTTGCCCAGCAAGATTTTATAAATGGGTCTGATGAAAAAGAGGAAAATGGAAATCCAGATATCCTGACTGAGCAGTTAATTTCTACCGAAAGGCCTTTTCCTGTGGATTCTGCAACCCGTGATAATTTTCCTGGGAAACCTCAACGGTTGAAACAGGTGGACTACATGGATGTCAGAGATCCCAAGCATGAAAATCAGATTCTTGCAGCTGAAGCAAAAGCAGGAGTGAAGCTGCCAGCTGAGAGTCATGTGGATTCAACAAAATGTTATGAAGATCCAACAAATAATCTTCCTCAAGTTCATTGGGTTGAAAAGGTCAGCTGTGAGTCCTTGGCTGATAATGCCCATGAGCAACCTGAACCTTCTGCTTGGACGGGGGCTCAGGAGGGACCGTCCACTGGGGTTCCCCGAACTGAGCAGGTCCTTATTGACATTAACGACCGATTCCCTCGCGATCTTCTTTCTGAAATATTCTCAAAAGCTATACTCTCTGATGGTTCATCGAATATTTCTCAACTGCAGAAGGATGGTGCAGGCTTAAGTGTAAACATAGAGAACCACGAACCTAAACACTGGTCCTATTTCCAGAGATTGGCAGGGGATGGGTTTTCAAGAAGGGATGTTTCTCTTATGGATCAAGACCATGTTGGATTTTCACCTAGACTTCCAAAAGTTGAAGAGCCTCCCTTAACTTATGAATATGCACGATTAATGAAAGATGGACCAAGTCGCAGTGAACTGCAGGATACTTATGGTGAAAATGATAATAAAATCATCCCTGGTGGGGAAGGAGCTTCCTCAGTAGTCACGGATTTCAATTATAGTACTTCCCGAGTGAAAGCCAGTGAAGACATGCAGTATGATGATTTGATGGACAACACGAGAGTTCGAGACTCAGACTATGAGGTATTTTTGTTCTTCTAATAATCAAGAGCAAGAGACTTGGAGTTATATCTTTAGTAATTAAGAGTAGGTGTCATATAATAACATGAACTCTTTTCCAATGAAACGTATTCTAATTTTGACTACGATTTTAGGATGGGATTGGAAGTATTGGCTTACCTCCTCTAGATCCATCATTGGTAGATTTTGATATAAATGCGTTGCAGGTATGGTTGCACCTTAAAACATTTTTCCCCCCTCTAATGTTTGATTGTTCTGTTCAATGAATTTGTTTGTTGGAAGGCACGACATGGCTTTGCTTTGTTGCATTTACTCATTTAAGGTCTGGATTCAGTAGTGTCCGAGTTTTCATTGATCATCCTTATGATCAAATGATTTTGGTTAAAGTCATTAGCAAAAACAATGAAACGTTTCTGTTGATACGTTTGACTCCTAGAACCCAAGCCTATGCCACGCCATTTCAATTGATTTAAGCAAAAAAATAGAGTTATAAAAGGTTGCCAGATTCAGTTATTTATATGTTAATTTATGGAATCTGACTTGGCATTATTTATCACTCGGTCAAATCAGCAGCCCAAATTAATTGGTAAATAATGTAGCATACATAAACTCGTGACAACTATTTGCTGCCACCAATGTCATATGTGGGTTGTTCCACACTTTTTGCTATTCAGATTTTTGTTATAATTGAAATTCAGTCACCTAACCATTTGCTAGTGTTCTATTGACTTGTAAAGGAATTTTGAAACATGAACTTGGTTGAAAATGTCAACTTAATGACCAAGGAAATAGATTCAGACAATTCATGATTGATTTACAGATCATAAAGAATGAAGATTTGGAGGAATTGAGGGAACTTGGTTCTGGCACATTTGGGACAGTTTATCATGGAAAATGGAGAGGCTCTGATGTTGCTATCAAGCGAATAAAGAAAAGTTGTTTTACTGGTCGACAGTCAGAGCAAGAGAGATTGGTAATCCATCATTCTTACATACTTGGTTTTTTTTTTCTTAAAATAAACTTTGAACTACATGTATGGTGTCATTGGATATGTTACCTGCAATTGAACACTTAAAGTTATGCGCATTGAAAGAATTGTATGGCCTCACTCTTAGACCTCCATATATGAGTAATTGATTATTTTTGTGCTAATGCTGATTCAGACTATAGATTTCTGGAGGGAAGCTGAAATTCTTTCGAAGCTTCATCACCCAAATGTAGTTGCATTTTATGGTGTTGTACAAGATGGACCGGGGGGAACCTTGGCAACTGTGACAGAGTACATGGTTGATGGTTCTTTGAGGCATGTTTTAGTTCGGAAGGATAGGTACTACTTCCACGTGTGGTTCTTCAAATTTAATTTTAGTTCCATTTTGTTATAACCATGTATCTATTGAGTTCTTCTCTTTTTGTTGTAAACCAAATATAAATCAACTTTGGATTTGTTGCCCATTTGTTTCTCCTTCACACTCCCTTTTCTTATTTGTTTTTATTATGATGTTGCAGGCATCTTGATCGCCGTAAGCGGCTTATAATTGCCATGGATGCTGCATTTGGGATGGAATATCTGCATTCAAAGAATATTGTTCACTTTGATCTGAAATGTGATAATTTGTTGGTTAATTTGAAAGATCCTTCACGACCTATATGCAAGGTTATCTTGATGGGTTCCTGCTCTGCCACTTTTATTAATATATGTGATAGAACTTGATTTTTATTAGTAAAATCCACAGTAAGCATGATGTCTAACTTTTAATCCATTTAGTTCTGATTTTGTGTTACAATCTATTAGGTAGGTGATTTTGGTCTGTCTAAAATAAAGCGAAACACCTTGGTTTCTGCTGGACTTAGGGGGACTCTTCCATGGATGGCTCCAGAGTTGATGGATGGTAGCAGCATTAAAGTTTCTGAGAAGGTAAGACACCAATATATGAAAAAGTGTCTTTGGGAAACTACAATAATAGAGAACTTAATGAAACAATATTTTCCTTCACCTGCAGGATTTCTTTAAGATGTTTCTTATGGATGCAAATTATTCTCTGTTCAGTAAAATTTCTTACGAAAAATTATGAGAAGCTTTTAAACAGTATTTGGTGAGACTGGAGAGCATGTTAACCTGTAAAACATAGATATTAACTATTTTGCAAGGTGCAACGAATATAAAAGGGAGACAGACATAAGTGTTCACATTACCCTTATTCGACCTACTTGCAAAGCCAATGAATTTCTAATCCTTCTAGGTGATCTTATGACACCACTGTTTTGGGTAATTGTCCAACAGGTGGATGTATTTTCCTTTGGTATTGTCTTGTGGGAGATACTCACTGGGGATGAACCCTACGCCAACATGCATTATGGTGCTATCATAGGTGCGCATTTTCAGTTTTTTTGACTTGGTACAGAATTTTCTTTTCAGTTGTAAGATGAATAGTGTCCTTGTCAGCTGTTAAATTAACTGGTTTACATATATGGATGCTTTATATTTTCTGCATACATGTTGTGCCTTAAAACCTACAAAATAGGACAATTTTTACTTGGAATGGGCACAATAATCATTTGCTTAATATTTTATAATATCATTGGCTTTCTGAAGTTCTTAATGTTACATGACTCTATCTATGACCTAAGTTCATCAGCCATTAGCAGCATATTCCGCTAAAAGGACCAAGTCATTCATTCTGTAGATGTCCTTTTTTACTTTACTTAGATGTGTATTGCACAAATCTGCTTCGGACATGGTATGAGCCCATCTTTGGTTAATGTTTATAAACTGTTTATAATCTGTTAAATCACTTTTTATCCACATATTTTGTGGGACCTACTTATCCACCACTCAATTCTATTTATTTATAATTTAAACCATTTATAAACGCTTCCCAAACATGCTTTTAGAAAATGGTTCCTACTAACTTTTGCTAGACATTTTTGATTAAAATGTTTTCCCTTTCTAGCAATATACAGGTAATATATGCAAGGGAACAAATGTTATAATTTTGAATATTGGATGTTTTATTGCATGAACTCTCTTCCTGAAAACGCACTTGAAACTAAAACGTTTAAGTACTTACTTGGGTAGGTAGGTAAAATAGAATCTAAATGATAACACTTAAAATTATAAGAACCACTAAAACTAGTTCAAATTACGAAATTATTGTGTCTGGACTTACGATTAGTGTACAGTTCCATGGTTGAATGTATCAAGATAGACGTAGGAGTATATTTAATGTAACATGAGGTGTAAATTACAGATACTATTAATCTCGATACATGAATATCAATGTCTAACCGAACAGTTTCTTATATTTTCAATGCAGCCTTGTTAGTCAGTACTTAACCTGCATCCACCTTCCGTATTCACTTTTCTCAAATGCCTTCTACATCTTGACTCCTTGATTTAGGCAGAAGTCATATACTAAAAAAAAAGATTAGTAATTATGACGCGCATGCATACCATCCTTTTTGGTTTAGCGGGTTTTAGAAATATATAAGGAAAGTTTTACTGACCGAATAGCTTTCCTTTCAGTGTATTTTTAGTAAATAGTACTCAGCGTTTTTTGCATTTTTCACTCTAAATGTTCCACGTCATTTAACTAAAATCCTATATTTTTCTCTATTATTGATCGTGTACGATGGGATCATATAGATTTTAATCAGATTTTTTAGCTAAATTAAACGGGGGCTCAATGTATTTAACTCAGCAGGAGCTGCGACCCCATTAATCTTGATTCTTGAGGAGAACCTATATTAGAAGTTACTTGGAAAGAAAGAGGGATCAGACCGATTCTGTCTGATGGAATTTGGAGTTAATCTGATGAATTGTATAGATTACAGGACTTTTCTGGTCCATATACTTTTGGGTTATTTCGCACATTTGAATNAATTTGGAGTTAATCTGATGAATTGTATAGATTACAGGACTTTTCTGGTCCATATACTTTTGGGTTATTTCGCACATTTGAATATACATTCCTAAGGTTGAGTCGGCTTCTTCCTTGCAGGCGGCATTGTCAGCAACACATTAAGGCCAACCATTCCAAGCCACTGTGATCCAGAATGGAGAAGGTTGATGGAGCAGTGTTGGGCCCCTAATCCTGCAGCAAGACCAACTTTTACAGAAATTACTAACCGTTTGCGCGTAATGTCTGCCTCGGCCCAAACTCGAAAGACAACTTCATAGGCAGTTTGATGCTTTCTTCACTACTCAAGGCAGTATATTTTTTACATTTAGACATATACACAGGGGACAATGAGTGATATATTGTTAACAGAAGGAACAAATGCTTGGAAATGGCTTGTGAGATATAAGAAGCCGAGTTTTTTGAATCTGCTGTGTGCTTTTACATTGCTGTGGACAGTTTGAAGATTTGTAATGGAATTCAATTCGTCTCCCTGAGTTACAACATAATTGAGCATTCTTTAGCAGTAGAGACCAAAGGTCAATTGCTGCAGTACTTACTCAATTAAGCCTCCATTTGACAAATTTGTAAATGGCTTATAAAGAGGAATAGTAGTTAATACCACACATTGATAATAATTAGTAGTTATGAATGAGTTGTTAAAATTAAAATTTGACTTAATAAACCATTTATAAATTTGTATCCAAATGGGGTCTCGAAATCTGATTCACTTTATTGTTACAAGATGATAATCAAATGTTGTCTTGTTTAATGAATGATCAATTGTGATTAGAAAAAAAACAGCTTATCCAAGCAAACCTAGGAGGAAGCAGCATTGTGCAATAGCCATGCTGATGCCAACATTATTGGCCTTCCTTTCCATCCAAGTAGAAGGCAACCCTTTTCACTGGATACAGTGTAACCATCACAGCCGTAGACAGAAATCATCAACCTAGCTTGGTTCATACACTTCATTCCTACTACTTGAAAACCCGCACGAGCTAGCTGCCTACGCCATTGATCTGCCCTTTCGTGTCTCTCAATCCTGTTAGAACCCTCAAATGCTATGACGTTGCAAATTTGCTCTGCGAAATGAAATTTTTCGATCTTTAGCCTCTCTGGGCTAGTTCGCGGGATACTGGCTTCGAGGGAATCAAAAATGGCGGAATAATAATGAAGAGATTCAAGGAATCTCCCAAGAAAGAATGGACCATTGTGGTTGGCATCTTGTTCAACCATGGTTAGAAGAACTGGATTTAGTTTCTTAATTGTTTGAAGAATGGTCTTTAAGGATCCTCTGCTTTCCTTCACATGCTTGTGCAAATGCAGGAAACTATTTACAAACAATGCTTCTCCTTCTCTTAACTCGAGCTTTTCATCTGTCAATACTGAAGTCGATACTGGCTCTGCTACCAGTTTGAATTCCAAATGAATGCCCAAAGAACTGGCATCTTCAACGAGGCCCTTCAGGCTAGCCTCAAGCTCCAGTGGATCTTGGACTCCAATTATGCCCGTGATCCGAACTAGTTTTGGGGGGCCTTCGGCTCGTGATCCCAAAGTTCTTACTAAAGAAGGCCACTGAAGATTGTGTTCCATTCCAAGATCAATTATGTGCAGAGAGTCTTTCCTCGTTGCTGCTTGAGATATAGCATCATTTGCAGCCATGAAACCAAAAGCAATATACGGAGTTGTCTGGTGTAACAGATCTAAGGCTTCATTCTTTTCCTCCCTTGTTATCAAAGAGACATCACTGGCACCATTAGAGAATGAACCGTCAGAATTCACATTTTGAAGAAGGCATAATCTATTCTTTAATCCCATTGCAAAACAATATGAAACTCTCTGCAAAGAATCTCCCCAAGGGCTCACACAAGACCAGATCTGGCTTAAAATTGTATCAGCAAGTTGTGTGTCCCTGCAACCCACAGCCTCAGCACAAGCTAACAACAATTGCACCAAATGAAGGCCTTGATCAACTACGTCCTTTATACTCGGCTCCATGACTGTACAAAAGCCAAGATCATTGCACGAGCCACACTCTTCCAATTCACCCTCTTTAGTCATCATCATTGGAACGTCTCCATCATAGTAGAAACCATCAATCTCTGAAAAATCTTGGAGCCCCTCTTCTGGATACTGATTTAATAGTCCATTTTCGTCGTCTGATGACTTGTTTGCGTTGTCTTTTTCATAGCATTCCACGTTAAAGAAGCTGTCGACGATTTCCTCCACCTCAGAGGTGGCCAGTGGAGGAGTGCAATCAAAATGTGGGCAAAGATCCATCTCTAGTAAAATTTCTCCCCATTCTCCTCCTTGTTCTTGCTGCACACGGGCCGCGCAAAATTGTCGAATGGCAGAATCTTGGTTGAGATTCTCATACATGGGAAAAGGAAGCGAACCATTCATGGCTTCCATTGATGATTTTGATGGGAGGGGAGTACAGGGATTGAGGCCTTTAAAACTTAATTGTGTAAACAATGTGCATCTCTATTTTTAACCATCTTTAGCAAGAATATTCTGTGTGTGAGGTGAGGAGCACATCATCGTGGCATATTATATAGTCAATTTCCATGAAGAATCTTGCTTGCTTTTCAAGAACTTGGCATCTTTAGTTACAACGCCTTTCACCCTCACAAGAAAGCCAGAAAGAAAGAGAAAAAACCCTTTAAAATAAGCCAAAAGTACTTCATTATATACTTGTATCATAAGATCATAGCGTAATATGCTAAGAGATAATAAGTAACTGTCTTTTCTTTTCTTTTCATTTTTTTTTCCAAGTTTTTGATTGATTGCTGAGTACACATGCCTGTTTGACTAGGTTTTCACTTTTGCTTCATATAGACAGCTTCCTGAATAAGTTATCTTAAACCATCTTCTTCTAAAATATTTTCTAACCAAAGTATTTTCAAAAAAAATAATCTAAACATGTTCGAAAACAACTTTGCCCTCGTTTAAGCCACATTATTGTAAAAATGAAAAGAAAAAATATAGTCGTTACGGGCTCCACACAAGAGATAAAAAGTCAAATATAGTGGTTTGATGTGATGTATAACGTTCATATTTTTCATTTCAATGAAGAAATAATTGGGCTCAAACAGGACCTTTTTATTCTCAAAAGTGTAACTTTCAACTTTTCAAAAGTCTTGCCAAATGGATCTAGTGAGTGAGTAGTTTTGTTGGCCATTAACTATTAATGGGAAATTAAAGGAAAATAAATGGGCGGTGGGTGGAATGAAGAAGAGGTGAATGCAGCCGACAAGAATTTGTTGGCACCGTAAAGTCGATAAGTTAGGAATTGTCAATTTACTGGAAATGAATAGGAAGCCGGCACATTAAATAAGGCAATTGGTCTATGAGGAATTTAACATAATCCCAATGCCTTAAAATTAATAGCATAAAATGGTTTTATGTGTTTGTCACAAAGTCATTTTCTATGAGGTCGGCCAACAATCAATGAGACAACTCTAGTTGGCCTAGGATCGAGGAAACAGTATATTCGATGTTTACCGGAATTTCATTTTTTTCAATAAATAATTATCATAGTATCTGTCGGTGTCCAATCTGAAAATTCACGTCGAATCAGTTGTGAAGCCAACTTGAATTACTTATAGAGGACTTTTTATCCAAACCAAATAGGATAGTACGAGAGGACGGCCGAAGGCCTCACCCATGTAAGTCGGACCATGTAATACATCATATGAAAATATCATCATGACACAGTTGCAAAAAGTGTTCTTCTTGGACAGCGGCCCCAATCCCCTCAGCCAATCAAAGAAAAGTCACGAAGCCTAAGGCGCGGACCTATGCGGCTATGCATTATGATGACTTCGTTATAACCAAACTCTTTAATCAATCAAATATCTTCAAATAGGTCAGTGACCAATGTAACGACTAGTCATCATAGTTTGACATGACTATATTCTCAATATTACTCAGAATAAAGATCTAGCAAAATTTCGTTTATATTGTATCAAATTAGACATTATTTTGCTTAAATTCCCATAAGTTGATATAAAGGTGCTTATGTACATGTATGTATTTTTAATTTAATTTTTTTGGCGTTGGTCAGAATTTCAGCAAGAAATTTAAGATGAACTTCCTCTCTCACTCTCTAGCAGTTGATGTAACAGTAAACACTAGCAAAGTTTTATTCACCTTCTTCAAGATTGACTATATGATTTCTTCTTCGCCATTTCATTTTATTCGTAACTACATCTACTAGGATATCTAAACGAAACCCTCGTCCTCCACTAAATTTGAGATTAACCCCTAACATTTTCAGTCCACGTGGGGAAGAACAGTTGACCTAATCAATCATTCCTAGATTCAAAGAAAAGAAAATGTGAAGCAGTTGGTAATTAGTTCAGCTAATTAAATTGAGAACCTCAATGGTTCATCCTAATTCAAATATGCTAGCTGTATGCATACCTAGACAGCGTTTGTCAATACCTAAAAGTCATACTGATTAGATTCCCCAAAATTTAGTCAAAGGAAAAAAGTCATAAATTTTAATTGATATGTTCCTAAAATTATGATAAATTTCAAGTTTCTTTTCATTTTATTTTGCTACTTGGAGTGAGATTTTCTTCGTCGCCAAAATTCTACAATAGAAAAAGGACAAGAGTCACAATTATTGCTCATTAAACAACCATTCAGTGTCATAACGACGGAGGTTAGTCACATTCCACGTAAGAGTGACCACAATTCCCAAGGATAGTAGATCAATTGTCACATTTCATTCTTTCGCAACGATAAATTCGAGATCACAAAGGACATATTAGATCATAATATTGAAGTTTTATATGAATCGAATTCAACGTGAACGCTAATAGGGTCATAGGGAGATGTCACATGTAACATAACAAATGTCACAATATACTTTCACGTTTCATCAACACTTTCATTGACTGATCACATTTTTAAAGAGAGTTCAATTTTTTCATATTGACCAACATGTTCTTGATAAACAAAATGATTAATTTTCTATATAGGATTATTTTAAGTGAGAATAAATATATATGATATATCATCAAAAGGTTATAATTAGAATTCTTTAATTATAGGAAATATATAAAATGGGTTACATCTTCAAAAAATCTATTCTTTTGAACTTTTGCAAAAGGGCAGGCCCAAGTTGTCCTGGCTCAATCTAGTGGTGGGCCGATTGTTGAGAGTTGAATAAGGCCCAGCGTACTGAAACTTTGGGCTTTCTAAAATTGTATTGAATTGATTCAAGTTCACCACTTCGCCCATATTTGGAAGAAATTAAAGAGTTAATGTAATCAGTGGTCATTGAACTCTACTATAAGTAACTACTCGTTCACTAAAATTTAAAAAGTTACCCTTTGCTCATTATACTTTGCTATACGTTATATTTGCCTGTTGAAATTTAAAAAGTTACTCGTTACTCATTTAAATTTGAACAAAGATATCTATCAATCACACATATCATTTCATCATTGTTACATATAATAAAGTTCAGTGAGCAAAGAGTAATTTTGTTCAAATTTAGGTGAGCGGCTAGCATCATTTCAAATTTCGATGATCAATTAGTATTTTATAGCAAAGTTCAATGAGTAAAGAGTAATTTTTTAAATTTTGGGGCGCAAACAATAACCTATAATATAGTTCAATGGCCATTTTAACTCGAATTTAAAATCAAAATTTTAATTTATGCTAAAGTTTATTACACATTGCACACTGAGACTTACTCACTTTGGATGATAGTGAATTTATTGTCTATTAGACAAGTGCTAAATATATGTACTGGTATATAGCATTATTTTTAAGAGGAAAGCCTATTGTATAGAACAATTCTCAACGAAAATGTTACAAACAATCTTACGTGAATTAAAATATTGTAAAAAATAACCCTCCCACCTAGCATATGTGTATTCTGTACCCATTTTGAAGAAGAATTTTCTGTAATTGTAGCTTGGCTCTATTTTTAAAATACACTCGCAACTTTATAAATAGTCCTATTTGTTTCTCATTATTTTTCTATTAAAATAAAAAAATATAACTGTTATCCATCACATCAAGTCATCAATTTTGAATTTCTATCCTTCCGTGGAACGTAACGACTATGCCCTTGTTTGAGTTCCATTATTTTGAAAAAATACATTTTTCAATAGTATTTTAATATAATTTCAATCACACATTTTTCAATAAAATAATATTACATACAAATCTAAAATTTTCTTTTATTTATAATTTTATATTTTTCATCAATACACATTTCAAAAATTCATTCTCTCCACAGAAGAAATGGGGGCTTAAAAAGGGCTATATCAAACTTTCCACCTTTTATTGGTCTTGCATAGTACGACACAATTCCAAGGCTTCCTTCAATCGGATCAATGGAAATGGAGTCTCCCTTCAAGGCAAATATATATTGAAAGGCAAAGTAGCATTATTGACTGGAGGTGGGTCAGGTATCGGAACATGGAGCAACCGTTGCTATTATGGGCCGCCGGAAGAGCGTTCTTGACTCCACTGTCTCCGCACTTCAATCCGTCAGCATGCCGGTAAATTCTTTATTTTTTTTACGTATTAAGTTCTAAATAACGTCGTGAAAGAGTGGAACTTCAATGAATTTGTTTGAGAAACTGTTAGGCCTTTTTTGTGTCTGCTGTATTTTGCGAATTACAGGTTACCATAGCTTCTTAGTTTTCTTGTTGAAAATTGGTCAAAATTGAATCTCTGTGTCTTTTTTGCTCAAAAGGGACCACTTAATGGCGTTGCTTTTGTCCATATTATGAGTTTGAAAAAGAATAATTGATAATTAATAATGGTCCAATGGAAATGTTTTGCGAGTGTTGGATGGAGTGGGATTCTTATAGGGAATGTTTGGGAATTGTCATTGATACTTGTATAATTGGTTAGAGTTAATCTGCTATCCCACTATTATGTTTTCGACTGTTACAATTGGACTTGAAGTTGAAGGAGATGTTCGAAGACGGGAGGATACACAAAGAGTAGTGGAAACAACTGTCAAGCATTTTAGGAAGCTTGACATTCTTGTCAATGCTGCTGCCGGGAATTTTCTTGTGTTGGCTGAGGATCTGTCCCCTAATGGATTCAAAACAGGTTCGACTTTGGAAACTGCTGCCCCTCCTTTTTCCTGCTTTTGATGCTATGAACCTTTCATTCATGAATTTATTAGACACCTTCAACTTACAATCGCAATTCGTTCCTTAAATCAGTAATGCCTCATCTATCCCTTTCATTTAATACTACTTTGTGAAGAGTGCCAATAATCTTAAGTGATGATTAAAGAAATCTATGAATGACATCTGTTACCTTTGAAATACTTTTAGAGACGGGATTCTTGATCTTCTGGAAGGATATTTAAGAACATATTATATTTATAGTAGGATATCTATAGTTATAGGACTGATTTCCAAAACACCAGTGCTAAGCATCCAATGACATGGCACAATGCAATAAGTGGTGTAATCAGTTTTGTAACCAACAATTGTCTCCCACCGCCTATTGTAGTATGTCATGTCACTTGATGCTTAACTTATCAGTGCTTAGGAGATCAGTTTCTTCTATAGTTGATCTTTATTAGATTATATCATTATCTTGAGAATTCTTAAAAGCTCTAATCTAAATATTTGATGATGTAATGACATTATGTAGTGATGAATATCGATTTTGTTGGTACATTTACAATGTGTTTGTTATGGTTTTGGTGGAACTTATAGGGGTTTGAATTTCACATCAGAAGTACTGGCTTCCTTTATGTGGTTGATATAGGCTTGGGCTCTCTAACTTCAATAGCTAGCTTTTGAAGTATAACTCTCCCAAGTTCTATGACATTTGTATCAGAGCAAGCATCAAGTCTCGAGACCCTGGTCGGTATATGGGTGCTTGCCCCCACGTGGTGCCAAGGTCGGAAGCGTGGTGGTTTGTTGTGCTTTCATTGGAATTTATGGGGGTTTGAATCAGACATCAGAAGTATGGGCTTCCTTTGTGTGGTTTATATAGGTTTGGGCTCTCCAACTTCAACGGCTAGCTTTTTGAGGTGTGGCTATCCCAAGTTCTATGACAATGTCATTGAGAACACGAGTACTTAAGAAAGATGGACCAGGAAGGAACTCTTTTAGTGGAGGATTTATATTGAACATCAATGCCACTTTACATTACACGGCGTCTTGGTATCAAATCCATGTATCTGCAGCCAAGGTTTGTGAATTTCGTTCTTGCCAAGAGTTTGACTTGTTTAAGATTTTCTGATCAACTGGTAAGTCTTTCAGGCAACTTTTGATGCCCTCACCAGAAATTTAGCTCTCGAGTGGGGCACTGACTATGAAATCAGAGTTATTGGGATTGCACCAGGTCCTATAGGAGAGACTATTGGGATGAGAAAGCTCATGCCTCGAGAGATAAATAGCAAAGCCAGAGACTATATGCCTCTATATAAACTTGGCGAGAAGTGGGATATTGCCATGACTGCTCTTCACCTTGCCTCAGATGCCGGTTGGTAATCTTGCCTAATACATTATCTATACCTATGTCAAGTTGAGATTTATCCTTAAACAAGAGTCGTTTGCTGAGATAACTTGGCGTTTATTAAATGAAATTTGAATTGGCGCGATGTGGATTGTTCTGTCATTTTTCTCGATTGGTAGTTTTGCCTTCTATTCGTGTCCTTTTTTAATTGTCACGCTGTCATTTTTCCTTCACGTCTATGCATGAACATGCTTTGCTCCCCTTTTTTCTTCCTTCAATGGGTGTTGCAAATTCCTTGCCTGGGCCTCATAATTTAATTTTCTCAATGATTTGCTAATCTTTTAAGTCCTGACTACTTCTATCGTATGAAGGGAAGTACATAAATGGAACAACCATTATAGTTGATGGAGGACTTTGGCTGAGCCATCCTCGCCATCTGGCCAAAGATGCAGTTAAAGATCTTTCTCGGACAGTGGAGAAAAGATCACGAGCTACACCTATCGGAATTCCCACCAGCAAGATGTAAGCCAGCTAAATGTATCACTTTTATTGTGGATTTAATCCCCATCTGTATGGAGTGGAGTTACAATAAGTTGCATTAACATGTACGATAGACCTTGTTAACTTTTTTCAGAGGTAAATAATTACATCTATCTATTTACTACATTTGTCGTGTTTGAGTAATTTCTGCGACAAGATGGTGTAAATTAAATTACAGATTGCTGATTAGAATTAAGAAATGTGCTTAGCTTACCAAAAATCATACTGCGATTAGCGATTAGTTATATTCAATAGACTATAATCAAGACCTTGACATCAAAAGAGTACTGGTTTCAAATTTTAGAAAAATTCTGTTTAAAGTGATCCAGCAAGGTCTAAGGCTCCGCACTCGTCTCTGCCCACTAACCCAAAGGCAAGATCCACCATAGCTTGCAGGGTACCCATTACTGGGCCTGTAATTTCTGTAATGTGGCCCGTGGACTTTCCTGGGCCCAGCTCACTTCCATCTTGCGGTTCAGTTAAACAAGAAGGTACAAAGTTAGGCTTTACTTTTCTGCTTTTGATGTGGGATGCTGAGATCGGTTGTGCTAACATGTACATAATGATTTATACAATGGTTTATATACACGTAATATGATGAGATATGATTAGATCAAAATTTCTTCTACCAAATAAAAGAAAAAACTTGCGCACTCTCTTTTTGACACTTCTATATATATCATTATATAACTCTCTGTATTCAAGTAGCATAATTCTGCTGCGATACCAAACTGATATCAACAACTTCATCTTTATCCTTCCTCGACATTCCCAGACTTCAAAAGCCACCGCTTCTTCTGCAAGAGACCCTTCCAGAGATTCCGACAGCCGCCAAGCCGGCGTTGGCTGTCACCTCCATGGCATAAAAAAATATTGTTTTGGGTGAGAATATAATCCATGTGTGATAATGTGATGCCATCCGCCCGCCAACTTTGATGTCTATTTATAGTAATGGGGAAGATAAATATATATCCGATTAGTATATAATTCCAAACCGGCAAATATCATTCAATGTTCATCCACGGATATATATAGACGGAAGTTAATTAACAGAGTTGCACAGACAATACTTGAAAGATTTCCAAAACCAACAGAGAGAGAGAGAGAGAGATGGACTTTGCCAAGAAGAGGCTGAATGATGCCCTTGGAATTGCACATGAAGCAGTTGAAGGGATCTCAAAAATTTTGCCCCCTTTTACTGGTTCACGTGAGAAAAGGGTAATATTGTTTGGCCAATCATCTTAATTTCTAGCACTAACTAATTTTTCCTCACTAGATGATAACTTTTTAGCTCGTTTGTACTTCAAATGTGTTTATTTTTTTCCTTAAATAGCACGATAAAACTACTGGTTTGTTTATTTTAGGAGCTGGACATTGGTCCTATACAAAGGCCACTGGTTGCTGTAGTGGATGGTAAACGAGTCTCCAACAGAAATTTACAGATGGAATCACTGTTGGATAAGTGTGACACACTGATTCTGAACGGAGAAATGATATTTGCTTTTTACAAGGCACAAGATCTTTCGGTGGGATCATTCCCAGTGGATGATGAAGACGTAAATCTTGCGAAATCAATCCTTGACAAGGCTAAGTCGAAAAGAGTGAAGATCTTGTTACCAAGCCAAGTCGTTGTGGTTGACAGATTTACTTATTATGGAAAGAACAAGGTGGTGGCAGCATCTGCCATCCCGGATGGTTGGACTGGCGTTGACATTGGACCTGAATCAGTCGATTTGATCAAAAATGCCCTCGACAGTGCAAAAACTGTTATGTGGGAAGGTGCAGAAACATATGAATTCGGCAAGTTTAGCCGAGCATCTGAGGTACAAAATTTCCTATCTCGAACTTTAGAATGTCATCAAATTATTGGTTGGAAAAGGCACATAAAACTTATTATTGGAATTCATTGCAGACAATTTCAAAGAAGGTCTTTGAGCTTGGTGACAAGGGAGTGAAAACATTCATTGGAGTAGAAACAGAAACTGGCAGTTCAGAGATAGAATATACAAGAACCGTTGGTGCAGAATAAGGTTTTAGGGTCTTTTGATGTTTTGATACGATGATTTTGTTGTCTATATACGTGGTTGTGAAAAATCACTGGTTTCTTCATTTCACTTCGTCTCCCTTGTTTGTATTTTTTTCATTATTTATGAGTCGAGTTTTGTTAATTTAAATGATGGGTCCATTGCCTCTTTGATTGATCACCTATGCGGTCGCGCCAAATATATTTATATTTATTTTATTTATTTTTTTGTTTTTTTAATCACTCTAGGTGACTTGATTTATTAATAACAAAAATAAATAAATCATAATACAAGGGAAAAAATGAAACTTTTCCGAAGATGAAGATTGCAATCAGAAGTCAATAGCTATGTTGATGTAGCCATAATACAAGACTTTTCCTTGTTTTTATTTCTTTAATTAATTGTGTTATTCCATTTCCCTATAATTAGAGTCTATGTCATTTTAGATAATTTGGGTCAATTTTAATGATTTTTAGGAGTTCAATTACCAAGTGTGAAATTTCAATTAAAGTTGGAATTAGGTTAAAAGGAGGCCGGAGGCTTGTTGGATTGGGGTTTATGAAATGATTAAAATATTAAAGAAATTTTGAGGTTTTCTTTAATTTTGTTTTAAAATTTAAATCGATTATGTATCAATAATTTGTGGCTTTATGTTATTCAATTTTTAATTTTTTTTTTTTTTTTTTTTGGGTCTTCCTTCTACATCATATGTCGATTTACGTGCATTTGGTGACTGCACATACCATGCCCTAAAATATAGACCTACTGAAAGGAATGACTATAAGCTAATGTCCTAATAGGATATTATAAAAAAAGCAAACATATAATTACTTAGAATATGACGTGTGTATCTCAATTTTCTTATGAAGGTTCAAATTGTACGAGTTATTATTATGGAAAAATTACTACAAATCCTACATCTAAAGTTTCAATTTCAAAAACAAATTTTTATAGTTTTGTTTTCAATAATCAGGCCCTAATTATCTCTTTTCTACACACACACACACACACACACACACATCTAACTACTCATAGAAAGATGAATAAAATTCACCGTAGTTGCAATAGTGTTTGAGACTTCTATTATAACTAAATAGTGATTTCACTGTAAATATCAGTCATACACATTTTTTCTTACTCAAAAGGACGGTGAAGCCATTTCCCTTTTAGTTCTTTATTTCTCCACACAAACCCATTTTCTGCAGACAGAAGCTTTCTTCATCATCATCATCATTATCATTTTCTTCTATCACTTCTTCTTCAATTCTTCTCTCGTTTTTCTGTGATTAATCTCTTCGTGCAAAATTCTCGTGAATAAAGAGGTAAATCCTGGCATGCCGTTTTTCTCAGATTATGATTTTGTTTATTCAAGATTCTACGTGCAAAATTTTTGATTTCGAGTGAATAGAGAGGTATATCTTCGATTTTATCTGATAATTATAATTTTATCTATTCGATTCACAATTTTGGGTTTTTGTGTGAATAGAGAGGTATATTCTTGGTTTAATGTAAAATGCTTATTAGTTTGTTAATTCATTTATGTCTCTTGTGTATCTCATGCATTAGTGATCTTTGCAAAAATCGTGAAGTATGGAAATAAGTTAGTTTTGGATATTATTTAGATCATTATTCTGAGTTGATTAAATTTTTAGCCTGTTTAGTAAAGTTTCCTGATGTATTAATTTAAATCTGAAATTTCTCTGCACAAAGCAGGGGAAGAAAATGAAATAGATTCTATCAATGTTATTTAACCGAGTCCAAAGTCTGCACTGTTTTGTGACGTGGTTAATGTAGATTAATTTTATCATTATAAATTTTATTTTTTTCGTTCTCTTTTATTTTTTATGATTATCTGGGTCTCCAGCGATTTGTATTGGTTATCTGACAATTCCATATCTACTACTCGACTTCCCGACTTAAGAGTCTCTTGGTACCGCTCTTACACCCCACCCCCACCAATATTCTGAAATTCCTTTCACGGATAATTTTTATGAATTCTATTTAATTTACTACATTCTTCTATATTTCCACAGTTTGCATGTTACATGTTTCCAACATGTTAATTGTAACAAAATTCAATTATAGATTGTTAAGTAATTTAATTATGGGAAGACAATGTTGGGTACCTACATCTACGCAACTTGATATTCTTCAAACCATGTTTGATGGAGAAAATGAAAGTCCAACCAATACAGAAATTGTATAAATAGGTTCCTACCTATCCTCACATAATCATATTTCTAAAAAAAAAAAAAAACATTCGTGAGTGGTTTAAGAATAGGCATACTCAGTTAGAAAGAGAAAGAAAACAAAAGCAATCCAATAAGAACTATGAAGTGCAACCTCATCGACGTGTGAGAAACTTTAATTTAATAGGTTTGTATTTAATGTTAGATTTAATCCTATTTATCATACTCTTCAACTTTATAAATCTTTTTTCTTACAAAATTTCCTTTGAAAATATTTTCTTATTCTTTCTTTCTTTTAGGTTATGATAATCATCAGCTTGAATCTCAAATTGATTTGCAGAAGGATCAAACTATTGATGTAGCTATTGATGAAAATTGTGTTACTGAAAAGCTAAATAAAAATTCTGAGGATAATCATGTTGAATGTCAATCAAATGTTGATGTTACTGTTGAGTGTGTAGGATAAATTGAAGGGGAAAATATCACGGTTGAACTTTTTGTCTTGCCATGTCCTAAAACTTGTACACATTGTGGTGTAAAAAAATTCTGCACAGAAAGCAAGGGCTTTTGTTGTTGTGATGGAAATGTCAAATTACAGTTACATAATATGCCTCCTAAACTATTTTATTTATTTACGTCTACATCTGAAGAGGCTATTGCTTTTAAGAAAGTTGTCGCAGTTACAACAATCATTTTGCATTCACTTTGGTGTTAAGTATGACAGAGAATTGTGTAAGAATAATAAAGGTATATATGCTTTCAGAATTTAGGGACAAATATATCATTTTATAAATTCTCTTGTACCACTAGATTGTCGTCCAACATATTTACAACTATACCTCTATGATACTGACAATGAAATTGGTAATAGACTTAATACTTCAGACAGGTTTTGTGAATTGACTTTAAGAAAGTTGATGGATATTTTAAACAAAAATCCGTATTCTAACTTTTTTAGATCGTTAAATGAAGTCACTGATCTAGAATCTTGTTGAATTTTTCTGAGGTGTGATCCAGGTCTTGATCAAAGAACATATAATTTGCCAGCATCAGAACAGGTGGCTATAGTTTGGGTTGATGATGGCCCATCTAAAAATACTCGGGGTCGGGATTTATTAATTTATGGACATTCGGGTAGTGTGTATAAAATTCAATATTATTATGGTTATCATGATCCACTTCAATATTCATTACTTTTTTCGTATGGAGAACCTGGATGGCATGAAGGTATTGAGAAGGTAAATGTTAATGTATCCCGACTTCAAATTTGTCAAAATTTAATAAAAATTAATAATCTCCACTCAGCTGAGGAGCTCTTGGAAATAGAAGATGATGGTAAAATTTATTGCTCATAATAATTCATGTTTTATTGACTAAATGTATTTATCTTATTATTAATAATAGATAATGAATGTATTTCATTGATATATGTGTTTATTTTTTGCAGTTTTGAAGACAAGGAGGAAACGGATGACAGTATCTTGTCGAAAATATTATTGCTACAAGCTACAAATCAGGTCTAAAAATAATTGTCTTCTTTTACATATAGGTAGACTTTTACAGCAATTTGTTGTTGATATGTATGTTAAAATTGAAATATCAAGATTGGACTATTTTCGCAATAATAAAAAAGTCATAAGAGTAGAAGTATACCAGAGAATTATAGATAGCGTTCAAAATGGTGAGAATAGAGGTTATAAAATTGGTAGATCATTGGTGTTGCCTGCTGATTTTATTGGGGATCCTAGAAATATGAGAAAAAGATATATGGATGCGATGTCTTTAGTTCAAAGGTATGAAAAACCTGATGTGTTTTTTACGATGACATGTATTCCAAATTGGCTTGAAATAAAACGTGAATTGATACACAATGATGAAATACAGAATATGCCAGATTTGTTGGTGCGAATATTTCGGGCCAAGTGTGAACAACTAAAGATAGATTTAGTTAAGAGAAAGTTGTTGGCTCCCATAGCTGTATATGTTTATGTCATTGAATTCCAAAAGAGAGGATTACCTCATGCTCATTTTTTTCTAATATTTAAACCAAATTTTAAGATTAGAAATTCTTTATAAGTTGATGAAATGGTTTCGTGTGAAATACCAAACAAAAATAAATACTCTCATTTACATTCAGCTATTGTAAAACATATGATGTATGGTTCTTGTGGGCAATTGAATCCAAAGAATGTTTGCATGAAGAAAAATGATGTATGTAAAAATAAATACCCAAGAGAATTTGTCCAATATACTTTATTAGGTAATTATTCCTACACGCATTATAAACGTCGTAATGATTGTGTAACTATTAAAGTAAGATGTTGTATGTTGGACAATAGATGAGTTGTGCCATACAATCCTTACATTCTAGCTAAATACGATTGTCATATTAATGTAGAGGTATGCTCTTCTGTTAAAGCTGTTAAATATCTATACAAGGTTTACGACCGTATCCATTTTACTATGAATAAAGAAATAAATGAACACTTTGTTGATAAAATTACAAACTACCAAACGGCTATATGGATTTCCACACTGAAGTTATGTGGAGGATATTTAGTTTTGATTTATTCAATATGTCTCCTGCAGTGATTTGTTTACAGTTGCATACTGGAGATGCTCAAATGGTTACATATAATGAAAGTGATGACTTATCAAAAGTTATAGATAGAGAGTTTATTCATCGAACAATGTTAATTGAATTCTTTAAGATGAATATTTCATATGAAAAGGCAAGAACTCTCCTGTACAAAGAATTCCCCACATATTTTGTCTGGAATGCATCCATGCGAATTTGGACTCCTAGAAAAAAGAAAGATGTTATTTGTAGAATAGTCGCTGGTAATCCATCCGAGGGTGAATGATATTTTTTTTAGAGTTTTACTAAATCATATTAAAGGGCCAAAATCTTTTGAAGATTTAGGAACTGTCAATGGTGTCATTTTATCTACTTATCGTGAGGTAGCGGTTTTATATGGTCTTCTTAGTGGAAATAACTATTCTGAGACTTGTTTAACTGAAGTAGTTATTTACCAAATGCCCATATTATTGCGTTGACTATTTGCTAATGTGTTGACTCTGTGTCGTCCTGCAAATCCAAGAAATTTATGGGAAAAATTTAAGGGTTTTATGATGGAAGATTATTTACATAACGGTATATCACAACAGAATGCTGAGATGAAAGCTTTGCATTGTATAAATTCTTTCTTGGAGGGTGTTGGTAAAAATGTGACTGATTTTGGCTTGGTAGATTTCGATTTGAATGTAACTGATGATGATAGCTTTCAAACCATGATTGCTGAAGAAACGACAAATATTAATGTTGAGTCAGGCATACATTATGCTAAAAGTCTAAATAAAGAGCAATAGAATGCCTATGATATAATTTTGGATTGTGTTTTGAATGATAAGAATGGAATGTTTTTATTGATGGCCTAGGTGGCACTAGAAAAACATACTTATACAAGGCGTTACTTGTTGCTGTAAGATCACGAAATCTTATTGCATTAGCAACAGCATCATCTGGTGTAGCTGCGTGTTTATTACTGACTGGTCGGACAGGACATTCACGATTCAAAATTTCACTTCAAATAAATTCTGATAGGCGTTGTTCGGTGAGTAAACAATCTGCACTTGGCAAACTTTTATCAATTTCTAAACTAATTATATGGGATGAGGCGCCAATGTTCATAAATATGCTTTTGAAGCTTTGGATAAAATATTAAAAGACATTACTGAATTTCCAATACCGTTTGGTGGAAAAGTCATTGTGTGTGGAGGAGATTATCGTCAAGTTTTACCAGTGGCACAGAGAGGAACGAAAGAGGATATAATGAAGGCAAGTTTAGTTTTTTCACATTTGTGGCCTTCTTTTACACAACTACCATTGATTCAAAATATGATAGCTAAATTAGATCCTTCGTTTTTTGAGTATTTGCTAAAAATTGGGAATGGAATTGAGAGAGATCATTCATGCCAGATGATTATACTTCCTCAAGATATCACCATCAATTTTGAAGATGAGTTTAAATCACTGAAGGAATAAATTAACATTATGTTTCCCAATTTCCAAACATATGGAGACAATCAAAATATTATGATGAATAGAGTTATTTTAACCCCAAAAAATGAATATGTGGATTTAGTAAATAACATGTTGTTGAAAGAAATTCCAGGAGAGAAGTTTACTTATTTCAGTTTTGATGAAGTAATTGATAAAAGCGAAGGATTTATTCATGAAGATTTTTTAAACAGTCTAACTCCTAATGGTATTCCTCCACATGAACTTGTGCTCAAATGAAATTGTCCAGTTAAGTTGCTTAGAAATATTAATCCTGTAGAAAGTTTATGTAATGGAACAAGATTGATTTGTCGTGAATTTAGACAAAATGTGATTTTGGTTGAAATTGGAACTGGAGAATATCAGTGAAAGCAAGTTTTTTTTACCTAGAATTCCATTCATTCCACTTGAAGGTGATAAACAATCAATGCCGTTCAAAAGAACTCAATTTCCACTTCGTCGTTATTTTGCAATGACTATTAACAAAGCTCAAGGTCAAACTCTAAATTTTGTTGGCTTATATCTTCCGAAAGATGTATTTTTTCATGGTCAATTGTATGTTGTATTATCCCGAGCTAGGACAAGAAAAGATATAAAAGTTTTGATCAAACCTTCTAGCAAAAATAAATCACATAGTTGTTGTACAAAAAATTATTGTTTATGATGAAATTTTGAACTTGATTCATGACAGTTAACCATTTTGAAGGAGCTTAAATTCAATTCTAACATAAGAAGAAGGTACACATAGAATTCATTCCAACATCTAATATTTATGATAGAATGTTGATTTTAGAGTATTTGTTTTTTTTTACTTTGGAATTATTTTTTACAAAAATATACTATCTAATATTCCTTTGCAGAATATTAAGGTAGCACTTTTAGAAGTTAATGAATGGAATGGAGTGGATCACTTCTGTAAGAATTCTAACGTGACTAGCATTTTGAAGTTGTTATTCAAAATATAAATGACATTCTATTTCAAAACATTTTTTTAGAGTATTTAAATCAATTTAATTTATGCAACATATGGAAATTCAAATTTATGAGAAGAAGGTCAAGGAAATGTTGGTGCATAGGAAATTTATTAGTACACACTCTCTTCAAAAATTGGTTACCTGAGGCAAACCAAGCTTTCAAGTCTTCAGATCTAAAGATAACTTGTGATGAAGACATAAATGACACAAGTTCTTCTGCCTTAAAAGAAAAAAAATGAGTGGATGATGATTGAGATATTTGAGAAGTTTTTTGCAACAACTATTCTCTTCTTTTAAATCATGTAGTGTTTAAACTATCTAGATTAGAAATGATATATACATCAGGGTGTTTGGTTTGCTTTATGTGTGCTAGATAACATCAATTATTGTTGCAAGCTTTGTTGATAAACCTTGTATTTATTTTTGTCTTCTATTTAGATTTATTTTCATCTAAGTAAATCTATACCTATAGAAACTTATTTTATAAATGACATGATTTCTTATATTTAGCTGTCAAAGCTAATAAGTTTTAGGATGGTAAGTTGAAATTCATATTGATAAACAACTAGCAAAACAATAATGTTTAATGAAAACTAATCATAAAATTGAAAATTAGTATAACCTGTGAAACTATCATTAAACTATCATTAACAACAAAAGAAATAAAAAAGTCATATATATATTTGGGCTACATTTTTCCTTCATTTTAATGAATTTTCCGACTGTTGAAGGTGACGTGGTGGGCCGTGTACTGCAATTGAAATCAGATTTCAGCAGACTACAGATCGATATATTTCCAGTTTTGCCCATCCTCTTTGAATAATGGTTGCAAGAAAATAAACATGAGCATGTGGGGACACCTAATAGTCAAAGGCTGCCAATCTTTCAATATTCCACAATAAGACCCTGCCACAACATAAGTGTCCATTACTCATGTCCAAATCGTTGCATACATGAATCGAATTTTTGAGCAAAATAAAATTATTAACCAACAGTCACCCTCTCGTGAATTCAAGTACGCTGACAGTGAAAGATAGAAAAAAAAAAGCGAAAATAAGGCTCCATTTTATTCTGGAATTCTTTTATTCGGGAACACATAAGACAGTACAACGGGCATCGCCTGAAGTCCCAATAGATGATGCAAACGCAAATATCCAATAATTTGACGTTCAACTTACGTACCGAAACAAAACACACCAAAGCCAGCCTCGCGTACTTGACGAAGACAATAGCTCGAACTTGTACATTCCCATAAGTCCCAACAGACACGTGGAGACCGTGAGGTCCCCAAATGCGGTCATCACGACTGCTGTGCCATGTAATCGGGAAGTCTATCCCACTCACTTCGTTGCATCTCCAGCATATTCATATCGGCCTGCACTTCATCCTCAGCACTGGGTAGATCTACCTCGGCTATTTCCTCATCTGCTTCTGCTCTCACGAACGTCTCATCCATAACTCCAGAATGCCGCAAGAAATTATGAACACCCATCGTTGCCAGGACAACTGCAATTTGTGTTCGGAATGAGTAGCTCGGCATACAATCGAGGATTTTCCACCTCTGTTTCAACACATCGAATGCACGATAGATCAAGTTCCTACACGAAGAGTGTCTGAAATTGAAGTTCTCACGAGTATTCGAAACCTACGACACAGACCTGTTCTTTTGTCGCGAAACTGTTGGAAGTAATAAAGTATATTCGAACCTTTGTACGGTGTCATGTACCCCGAGCGAGGAGCAAAACCAGAGTCCACCAAATAATACTTTCCCGGTGCTGGCTGTGGAAAATTTAATTTCGGACTGTATATAGCACGAGCTAGAATTCGTGCATCATGCGTGTTCCTGGTGTAACCAGCAAGCATGAATGTGAAACACAAATTGAAATCACATACATCCAACACATTTTGGGTCAGAACTTCTTTTCGACCGATAAATTTTACACGCTCGTGACGTGGTAGTACAGCTCTCACATGTGTTTCGTCAATAGCCCCAATGCAATCCTGAAATAGTGGATGCTTGTTTAGGTCCAGCCTGTGCGGCTCGACACCGTCGTTGTAATTTGAGGCCAGTCTTATGACATGTTCCGAGAGCGTCACGATGGCACTTAGCACCTCCTTGAAAAATACACAAACGATCTGCAAAGAATGGTTGACTATTGTTGTCACCTGTCGGTATCCTTTGCCATGTGCAAGTATGCACAAAAACATACCAACTTTCTCGTAGATATCCACCTGCTGGCTACTAGTTAAACCATATTCATCTTGCAAAACATGTGCAAAGTGTCGCAACATCGGTGGGTACATTCGAAATTCCTGAAAGCATATCTTACCATTCTCGTTCATAGCCCCCATCATGAACATATGCCCATTTCTGACGAATGGAAATCATCGAACACGATCCCGCTATGCACGATAATAGGTCCTCGAATCGGTCCCGACAATAGCCGAAAATGTGACCCATGCTGTGACATCATTTGCCAGACAGATGAACAACTCTTCCTCATCGAGCTTGTCGTCAGAGTTGGAGGCCGGCTGTAGCACGCACTCAAAGCTCATTATGGTAATGAAGTTACAGGCTTCACGGTCCAATGCCTATTATATAGAGGAGTTCACAAAGGCACTTGCTTACCTCAGCCCAACAAGTAGGTTAAATGTTTGTACAAAGAAAAAAAAAACACTGCAACGATTACTAGGAAGAAAATAGTTATAGCCGGGGTAGCAAGATGCCCTTCAACTTGTGTTCAAAATCTCGATGCTATTCAACATGAGGTACGTATGCAATGGTAAGCAACATGTGATAAATTGTACGGAAATAAAATTACTAGTCAACCATAAGTGTCCAACACGTCCGCATGAACGGGAAAAAGTACACGAAACATGAAATGTCCCAAACGTGGAGGGAACTACACTATTACATAGAGTAATTAGCGGACGGCAACATCCTAGTGAAGTTTATTATTACACTCATTAAATTGTCATTCGATCCATTCAAACTTCTCATCTGCATCCTTCATAACAGCTAGCATATCCCGACAGCGCTTCTGCATCATAATTTTACAAGCATAGAAGTAGATAGGGGAGCGGCGCTGCAGCCGTCCCGCTGTGAGCAACTCCTCAATTGCTGCGGCCCCCGCGTTCTCGGTCGGATTGATGATGCTATTGAGCTTCGCGGCCGCTTCCTCGACAGCACTGGTAGCTCAATCCACGAAGTAGGACAACTCACAAGCAGAAACTTTCTTTTGCTTTCCCTTACGGCCCTTAGTGGATGACGGTCGTTTCTCGCCTCTTCCAGTGTCAGAAGTGTTCATGCTTGCGGTACCTATTGTATCATCCCCCTCATCGTTCGAACCGTTGCCCTCTTCGTCAACAAGAATGGCATCCAAGTGGTCCTCCGCATGAAATACAGCGAACCCCATTTTACAAAACTGGCTCGGGGTCATCGCGTACTTGTCGCCATCGTAGCTGTTACCAAAAAGTTGCCGATAGTGGTTGTAGATCTCGCTAACGTCTTTGTCCTTATAATCCTTATATTCTTTGTTCTCCTGCATTAACAAATACACAGGATAATATTAGGTTCGAACAACATAGGGATTGAAAATGTCACAAACACATACAGATGCATGCATCCATGCACTTTTTTGTCATGAATAAATCCAGTAATTAGCAAAATTTGGCAAGACTTCGTTTCAGTAATTTCCCTCGAAATCAAAATCCGTGCATCTATGTAGTTTCAGTAAAGTTGTGAGAATGCAATCAATGGTTAGTTGAAATCTGAAAATGTTTCAAGATCTATCAGGAAATTTTTTTTTTGTTTTACACAGAAGAGGTGTCAAAAACCACATCATCGCTAAAACAACGTAATCATAGATGGAATCAGATTCTCATAATGTGTAGTGATGCAATGGAGAGTGCAATGAAGAAAATAGTTTTGGGTTGCCCAGATTCTTCTATGGCCCTCAATGCTACGATGACATGTGTTATCTTCAGTAACAACCTCGTTGAAGAGTTCACCCAACCACTGTAATCTTTTGGAGCAAAGATAATTTCCAAGCAAGTTGATGGCGTTCATTATTTCAGCCCTTTCATTCATCAGTTCAGTCATTCTCACATATGAAGGGAAATTGTCATATATTGAATTTTAAGATCAGTTTTTCTATAATTTTGTTTGACAAGTAACAATTTGACGACAAACAATGGTATAAAGAACTCAAGCAAACTATGAGACCAAATTTTTGTAACAAAAAATTAACATAACATCCATATTGCCCACTGCAACATATCAGAATGCAACTCGGAATCCACGTATTGTTAAATAAAAGCCTAGACCATATCAACAGATTAACAACCAATCATAGAAGAATATGGCATGTTTCATGCATTGTATATCGTTGGGGATTCTTTTCCATTTTTTCCAACTAGTTCATAACAGCATGATCTCCAAAAACATTACTATCCCATACTTGTAACGAAAGGTGAAAACGAAATATATGCTTCAAGATGGAAAGTCAGAGCCTTACCTTGATTTTTCTCGCCCACCATTCCTAGGATGCTGCAACCCAGCTCGTTGAATCATCGTATTCGATCCCGCTGGAAGACAGGAGTTCGCAAAGACGCTTGTGTCACGACGTATGACGTCCCAGTGGTTGTGGAGTTGTTGTTTTGTCCAATTGTGGCCGGACGATGAATTGAATAACGAGACCACACAATCCCAGCCTTGTTTGGTGAAACACCTGCCATGCCGATGGCTTTCGGCAATGGCTGTTTCACAAGCAGCTATGAATGTCATCCTTTCGTTCGACTTCGATCTCGCGTTTCTTCTCGACGGTGTCTCACTTGCAGCTCTGGTGGGTTGAACGGCGCATGCTGTGCACCATTACCAGTCTGCGGAAAACAAGGACCACATGGTGAGAACAAGGAAGTAAGATATCCATATCGTATTGTGTGCTAACTTGTACGCTTACCTCACTGGAATGTGGATCCATGGGGTTTGTTGCAGATATCTGTAAGCAGCAGCACTTTCATCGGTGTAAAAATCGTTGAAGAAACTCCAGAATAACCCAGGACAACGAATGCACGCTACAGACTCGAACGTCCCTATTAACTCGTTTTCAACACCGGCTAAGAGTTTATGACGATGGGTGTGCGTAGCACTTGCAATTATGGAATTGGAATTGAAAGTCACTGTGGACGAGCTATGATTTGGGAAAGCATAACAAGGGCAAAATGAGGGAAGTTAATGTCTTGGTACAATTTATTACATTGTTCGGTGTCAGACAGCCAGTGGACCAAACGGTTGAATTTTTCATTAAAATGAAGCCAAAATGTCGCCCAAACATATATATATACACACACACACAAATGTGCGGGGTGTGCGGTACCCCGCAGAAAATGTGCAGGTGTCCTCGCACTCGCACAAATGTAAGAAATTTTTTCTTTCTTTCACACTCGAGTATTAACAAGGTGTAAGGAACTCCCATTTTCAACTTCACACTTGTGAATTTGTGAATTTGGTGCCTTCAAATTGACTTGCTCTGCGAAAATGTCTATTTTCCCGTTTGCAGTGCGGAGAATGTGCAAAGCTACACCGTACATTTGTGTGGTGCCCGCACAAAAAATGTGCGGTGCGAACACCGCTCGCACAATTTGTGCGGGCATTGCTCGCACATTTGTACGGCACCACTCGCACAATTTATGTGGGGTAGCTTGCACATTTGCTATCTCTATTGGTTTCTCTAAATACTATCAACGATATTTTCAGCTATATGAAATTTTAAATAAAATATATATTATTTTGGTTAAAGATTAATACAAGAAAAAGTATTATCTCTTTCTTTCATTTTTTTCTTCCTACAAAATCTTGCAAAACATCACAAATCTTACAGAGTCACGAGAATCCTGTAAGAAGGTGTCAAAACCATTGCCACATATTATGTCTATTTCTACAACTATGGGAATACTTTGTCTATTCTACATGTGAATCTCTGGTCAAATCATTGAAAAAATGAATGTGTATTTCTTTAGCTTAAATACCTTTGCATACCATTTGTTCTCACCAAAAAAATTTAAGTATTTTTACCTACCACTTACACTAGCTTTGCTCAAAAAATTCAGGTGTTTTCTATTCTTTTTTTCTTACCTCTTTAGATAGATTTTTAGTTTTAAATAATGTCAAATTTTCAATATTTAATTGTGTTGTAAATCATATGATGTATGTAATTCTTTCTAAATTTAGTGCAGACACATAAATGGATGTGCCACATAACTTCTCCAAAATCATTGACATTTCACTAAATCATAACATTCGTTTGTAAGTCATATAATAATTTCTTTTTCCAGATTTTTTAAAATCTTTTATTAATATTAATGTACCACTTATATTTTTTTTTTCCATTTTTGTAGATGCTTCCTACATCTTTTATCAATTACTGGGAACTCGAATTAGGTAACACACTACGGTCAATTGTATATGATGGTATAATTGTCACAGTACAATTAGAAAGAATTGACGGAGAAATATATCTGGCTAACGGATGTGAAGACTTTTTCGACCATCATAACTTACAGGATGGTTATGTTGCAGTAGTTGAATCTAACGAAAATTCAATGTTGAATATGAGGATATTTGATCGTGTTAGAGCAGAGATTACATATGGCTCTAATTATGAAGTAGACGATGACGATTTAAATATGTATAATCCTGCGTTTAAAGTAAAACTAACACTCAATCATAACAACCATCGAGAAATTGTAGGTGTTATTTTTAATACGTCATTCTGTATTCACCTATTCCACATAATTCTTAATATTAGTAAATCATTAATCCGTGTTTTCCAGTCTATACCAGGAAGGTTTGCAAAACAACATTTGCCAAGACATGTGCAAAATGTTCGAATCCTCGACTCTTTACTTCACTACTGGGATATCACCGCAAATTGAAGAGGAAATGGTGTAATATGCCGTCTTAGTGTAGGTTGGGCAGATTTCCTGGCACAAAAGCAGCTACAAATTGGCGATAAATGTCTATTTGAACTATTAAATATGGAATCTCCAATATTTATGGTTTACAAAAAAAACATAACAATAGGACTCTAATACATCTATGAAACATTTTTTTTGCTGATGATATTCCCACGCCAATAATGTTTAATTTTTATATTTATCCAACAGTTAATTATCTCATCGACAATTTCATAGACTACATTTTTTTCCTTTCTTTTTACTGCAGTATTTTTAACTGAAATATAACATTCTTTTTGCCCTATAGTAATGATATTTTTGGTTAATTCTGCGACCATCACAATTTAAAAGAATGTTATGCTCTCTCATTTGAGTATATTGGGAATTTGAGATTC